GCACCAGTCAAGACAGTATGATCTGGAATTCACTCCCTAAATCTTTCACTTCTATACCTCTCCCTTTTCCTTTATGACACTTCTTGAAATTTACCCCTTCCACCAAGCTCTTGGTCATCTTCCATAATATTGCCTTATGTGGATTGGTATCAAACTTTGCTTGGTACCTGCTTGTAAAGTGTCTTGGTGCATTACTTGTATTAAGGGTAATATATAAATCAAAGCTGTTATTGTTGTCCCTGTTAATTAAATCTGACCAGCACCCCACACTTCAGATTGTACAGCCCAGGTCAAAACCATCAATCCAAGACTAAAACAGATGCTCCACTACAGTCTCCTTATGTTTTTAAACTATTTTGACCATGTTGCTGTCTAACTTTTGTGATGATAATCAATTAAGTTTTGTAAACTACATAGGCTATACAAAGCTAGCACATGTGCACTGTTCAAAAAGAAACACGGCTGCATGGCATTTGAGTTAATAACTGTTAGTGCAAAATAAAATAATCACAAAATGTAGGTAGGCCTTGAGGGTAACAGAGTTGGCAGTTTCTGGCCTTGTGAAATGCTGCCCATCTGCTCACTGTCAGAGTAAGTTAGTGGTGCATTTGGATTCGTGCCCTAGAGTTTCATCTCTGAGCTAGTCATGTGACAGTCACCACGACAACTCGACAAGACTTGTAAACTGCTGCTTGTAGAGCCAGATGCTCCAGTGCACATGTGGTTTAATTATATGTTGGATTTTTTTTGCAGTTATCAGAAAATTTGCCCTGCTGTTTACATGCGAATGCTTAAAGGTTTTAATGTTGATTTAAATTGTTTCAATAGGCTACCTTTGCCTCGCTCATACAATACTCAAGATAATGGTTTAGACTGTAGCATTACTCGGATTTGGAATGTTACTCATAGAGCGATAACAGTACATCGGAGGCTATTCGATGCATCAAGCCTGTACTGTCTCATTGAAAGTATCTAATTAGTTTCGCCTTCCTGTTCTTCCCCTGTAAATTTATCACCTTCAAGTAATTTGTCCCATTCCTTTTTGAAAATTATTTAATTTGCTTCCACCTCCATTTCAAGCAGTGCATTCCACATCATAACTTGCTATGTGAAAATAATGTCTCCTTGCCTCGCCTTTAACCTGAAATTGTGTCCTCTAATTATTGCCTCCTATGTTACTGGAACAGCTTCTTTATCAAAATGTTTGATAAATAAATTGAAAAGAAGAATGTATTGTATATAATGTGGGGTAAAATGAGCAGCTTTATCCCCAAATTACAGCCAGGTTGACTAATGAAATTGTGTTAATGATATTAAAATAAGTTCCAGTATTGAAGGACAGCAACAACTTGCTTAATATATTAAGCATTCCAAGATCCTTTATAGAGGAGAAAAGGATACTGAGTTGTATTGAGAAAATGACAGCAAATATAGTCGAATGAACATGGTGAAGTGAAGAAATCTAACTAAAAAGGAAGCTTCAGGAAGGGAGTTTGAGAGTATGGCAAGTCAGTTATGAGCCTACCAATAATAATTGATATAGGTGAGGGACTCATAAAAGGGATCCAAATGAAGATCCAATTTGTATCTCCCATAGAAATGAATGAAATTTTAGAAATAGATTGGAAGAATTTGTAAACAGATGCAGTGAAATGGAGGCCTGGGTGCCAGCAAAGTCTGATTGAAGAAGAGTTGCCAGAAGGGAAAAGTATGATGCAGTTTTCACGGAGTTGTTTTTCATGTTTGGTAATGCCCATGATGTCAGTAGGAACAGCATTAGAGAAGTTAAGTAACAAAAGTACAACTGAAGATTTTCGGAGTGGTGGGTTAAAATGGAAACACTTGAGAGGTAGAAATAAGTAATCTTGGTTTTGGATAGGATAAGGGGTTTGAGGAATCCACTAAGATAGAGCTGCAGCAGGTTAAGCAACTGGAAACTTTTGTCAGTTGCTGAATAAACTACGATTTTTACTAACGTTAAATTGGTGAAAGTTCTGGCTCATCCACAATATTATGTCTAACAAGCAATCTGACAACAAGTTAGTGTTTGAGATTGAGGCTAGAAGCAAACAAACTAAACTGTTCACTGATGGTATATTTATGTATAATATACAAATCATGCAATAAACAATGTAGTAAGGTTAAAATCAGTCACACCTCAATCAGACACTGATTTTGCTAATGTGTTGAAGTTAGCAGACTGTGAGGTTTGAAATGTTAACTGTGAAAGGAAACTGATCATATCAGAGGTGAACTGCTTGGAGGTTTATAAATTCCAATGATACTGTTTTTTGGAGCATTATATTGATTAGATATTCTTAGTTAATACTATTACACAGAATAAGTTTGTTAATGACACTGTATATAAATAATGTGGCAATATTTGTGCTGTCTACAGTATTAAAACCAACAGAAAATTGTGTTTGTATATTTCCTATTTAACACAGTCATTTCTGATATATCATTGGCTGTTTTTATAATTCAATTCTCCTTGTAAATAAATAGAAGGTGATAGCATAGGTGAGTCCTGAGATCTAATGGTAAAAGTATGGTTGTCATTTCCTTAATTTTAGTTCTGTACTCATAAGAGAGTGTGAATGCTCACCCACTGAGGTTGCCTATACCCTGCTAGAATGCATAAACATGCACTCCTGCAGGAATTGTTGGACCATTGCTTATTATTCACTTGTGTTGTGCTATATTGTAGAAGTTAACCTAGAATACTGATTTAATGTTTTTTTTTAGAAATTCTCAGTTAACATTCCTTCCGAAACTCAGGATGAGTCATCATGTCAAACATGGTCCAATTATCTTTATTAATAAGATTCCATGGTAATAAACACCACTTCAACCACTCTATCTGTAACTTAAAGATTCAGTTAAAGAACTGCCTGCAATCCAGACTTTTGCTTCATTACAGAAAAGTCTAATAATAAGAATTCATTTTTTTTGGCCATGCTTTGACTAAACCATGAAATATAAATAAAATAGTTATCTCCTCTCTATATTACTTAGACTTCAGCATTCTTACAGACTGGAGGATATCCAATAATGATG